GAATAGAATATGGAGAAGGTATTGGTAAATAAAGGAAGATGAACGATTTTATGAAAAGTCGCAGAGGGAATCTCGGATCAAAAAATAGAAGATGGGTATTGATTTCCGCGACGTAAGTGTAATGAATACTTTCTTGGCTGAACTTGTGGTGGGTTTTAAATTCATGCACGTTATCGAGACATAGAAATCATAACAATAAGCTGTCATCTGCGTATATCGAACATAACTCCATTTCTCGTGAAATAACCTTTTTAGGATTCTGACTACGCGGTTCGACATGTCTTAGCTTGAAATCGAGTCAATAACTGCGCAAGCCTTCTGTTCAATCCTATAATATTTTTTTATGATTATAAAATGCAAAAATCTCTGAGGCCTAAGAGAAAGTTGTTAAACTACTGAATACCGGACGGTTAAACCAATGTTCGTATTATTGAGCAATTACTTACCAGGATTGCAATTTATTGGTACAGTTTGATCAGGAGGTTTACTCTAGCACAGTAAGAACACAAATGGTGCGGGCGCTTAGCCGTTGATTTGCATTGAGGCAGCTGTTGAGTTTACGATCGATGAATACAGCTGTAGCACCTGCGATTGATGAATACTTCCGGACTTACAATAGTAGACAGAATAGGCTATGGTATGTGATTCAGTACTGGAAGTCACCATATGTATACTGATATCGAAAGAACGCAGGTGAAAATGTTGAAGTTCACATAAGATAAAGATTCTGGGCGTTGGAACGAAAGAAAGATCGGGCGGCACATGACAGATGAAATTTGCAAATGAAAACAAATAGGCGTTGTTAATTCCGTTTGCATTGTACAGGATTATGAAAAATATACAGCATGTTGCTCGAAATGAGGGATACATTTATTCGTATTGTTTTTTGTTCTTGTTCGTAAGCGAATCGAGAAATCGGTTGGCAAACACACAACGAAGATAAATCATACGCTTTTTACTGCTGTCAAATGAGGGTGATAAAAAAAAATCTTGCTTGAATCTAGGTACGTGGAAAGGCGTAACTCAACGACCTGCAGCATAGCGGAATGGAATGTGAACTTGCTTGTACCTAACTTCGTTCATTGCTTCGCTGCAAATCGCCGCAGTCGATGGAAGTGGCGGTGGGTATCGCTGTTTCCTCGTCCTCCACCTCCATAGCGCCGTGGTCGATCGGACAGGTGGCGAGTTTTTGCCGCATGACTAGTCGTTCTATCCAGCCTGGCCGAGAAACAAGTTCTTTGGCAAAAGTCAGCCGGACCGCCGCATACGACATGCCCTGCCCTAATTATACGCTGGTGCCTGCATTGTAACTCGCCTCTGCGCTGCGTTCTTAGTTCTCGTTGTGGCGTCGTCGTCCTTTTCGTCTGACACCGAGGTCAGCTATCACACTCCGAGGTAACCGTAACCGTTGTCGCTCTGTCCACTTTCCTTGCTTGCTTTCTCTTACAGATGTCCCTATTATTGCTTGTTTTTGCTTTTGTCCACGTTGACATACACCTATGGCGTCTGTCTGAAAAACTTCGGAATGATTGTGGCATATATTAAAGTAGATATGTTCGTAATGTAATTAGCATAGGTCTTACCGTACGCTCGAACAATTCTTAAGTTCGTACGCGTTGAAATGCTTTCCTCAGAAGGCCAATTTTCATCTAACACTTCGCAAAGGGAGGAGACGGTTGATCACTGTCAGATGCCTCCTCACGTATCGATTCTCTCATCCGTCCCGCCAGAACCGGATGTTTGACTCAATTGCTAACGCTTATCCTGAAAATCACAGATACCTGCAGGCAGAACTATGAATTATCTCGTCGTTTTGGATTCAGCTACCGTTTTGCTGAATTCTTGTTCATTTCTTATGAATTTTAATTCTTTTGCTTTGTTTTTGTATAAAATGTACTTTTTCCAAATATTTCTTCTTACCACTGGATTGTTCTTTTATGTCCTGGCATTTAAAGTTTTAACCGTAAAAATGGCATTAATGTTTTGTTCTCGGTGTAAACTGAATAGCGCAACTGAGTTTAGAAGCCTCCTACGAAGTAAAGTCGGTGATCTTCGGTTAGTACATGCCAATGGTTCTCACCTTTATTCCCTCACGACTAGATACAGTTTAGCTACTGTGGATCACAACTGGCAGAAGATCTCTGGCTTCACCATCATGAAGACTCATCACTTACGGGCCGAAACCTCGGTAGTGGTTTCAGTCAATAGATCGACTGTTTTGTGATGTATATAATTAAGCCATTTGTATGCCAGATTTCAATATGAGTAGCAACATAACAACTAATTCTTCAATTTTGCCGGAAACATTCGTTAAACTTTGTGACTTGAGTGGTAAAGTAGTTTCTTCAGGCGTTGACCTCTTGATCTCACTTTCTGAAGTAGATAGTTTAAAATGAAATTACTTAGTTTGAAACTTAGCTGTTTGTATGAAGTCGCAAAAAATTGCCAAGAAATGTAATCCAGCGTTAATTACTTGATGCTAGGGTTTTATTCATTTACTAAAAACCTGTAAAAACCGTTCGAGAGTTTGCTTAGATATCTATAAGCACCACACAAACTGTAATGTCAGCTGACCTGTTACGGTGTGCACAATAGGCAGGTGACCGACTCTGCATCTAGCTTGATCGTAATACTGTGCTTATTACTTTTCACTGATTCTGGGTGCTTTAAATGTACTATGTTGTATTTTATCAGTGTAGAAGAATGAAAATGCACTTATCGGAAAAACTACTCCTGTGCCTGAAGCCGAAAGTTTTCGATCAGTGTGTCCTCCCATAGTTAACCTATAGGTGCTAAACGTAGGCTCTGAGCATAAATGCTATTCGCAAACCGCGGACTACACAACGCAACATTTAAATATGTCTGTTGGGAATAACAAGAAAAAAAGACAGAAAACTAATGGACTAAAGCACAAACAGAGTCTCTGATGTTATTGTAGGAGTGAAGTAGTTGTCTTGGCGATGTGTAAGACACCTTCCAAGAAAAATCGGCTAGTACTGAAGCAGGAATACATTCGACTGGGTTCCAAGAGGGTGTAAGCTACGCGTAGTACGGCTTCCAGATTAATGGCAGGACGAGCTAAAGGACGATCCAGTTCTCGAATTAAGATGGCTGAAAACGAAGTTTATGATAAAGTCTTCGAGAGGTTTTTCTTTCACCAGTGGACCGAAAACGGCTGCTGATAAGAATCGGTTTTGTTCGGGAGAGTGCATGTATTTTCGGCTTCTCTGTTTGACGTCTCAGCCGTGACGATTATTGTGCTGTGATAAATCTTGTCTTCAGAGTTAGCGATTTATGCCCATCGGGCTTATGTTTGTTGGAAATTATAGTGAGAAAGTGTTTGCTTACCTACATATATTCCTGCCATCGATGGACGCTAGGGCACCCTGTGCATTCCTGCTTTCTTGACGTTGGTCACGAGTTCGGACTGATAAACTGATTGACTGACTACTGAGTGAAGTCAGGTGGTCTGATTGACTGTATTATATTTTATGTAATAATTGTACTCTGAAAACGGACCGAACTCGGTCCGAAACGTCAGATATTCCTAATTAAATATCAGATATCCCTTATATATATATATAACTTCGCCATGAACTTCGCCATGCCTATGAATCAAACTAACTGAAAAACTCAAGCCAAGGTTAGTCAGAAAAATCAGAAAACAATTTGAA